ATTCCCTAAGGTGAAAATAGATATTCTGTAGTCAAGTGTGGACAAGAGCACGCGTTAACCAGGCAAGCTAGTAGCTAGATGGTGCCCGCGGAGATAGAGAAGTAAAGCGACTATCATATCCCAAACGCGGAGAATCAACAACTAGGGACTGACCATAAAAGAAGGGGTTTACAACCATTCAGACCTTATTACGGGTCCGAATAAGTCTCTTTACATTCAAAAATTTGCCTAAGGGTCTGATAATGCAAGTCCTTAATGCAGAAGAAAAATACTGAATGCAACAGAGCACATAGTTGAAAGAGCATCTGACGTACACAAAGTAGCAGCCTAACTAATAATAGCTAACAGTGCCACCTAACAGGCACTACTACCCGCCGTAGATCGAACGCGACTGCGCTTCCCCGAGCTATAAGCGAGCATAGTCAATTTTGGTAAGATAAAACAGCGCTAATGTGATACTCCGAGAATATGTTTAAAGACATGGGCACTTGTTATGTAGAAGAGATCGCTCGAAACCGTTTGTCAGCATTAGAAACATTATTTATAACGATGCGCCTTCAATTTTGAAAAGAGGAGAGCAGAGAACCGACGAATGAAAAATGAAAGTGATAAAAAACGGACAAATGAAATCCACTTAGGTGTACTTTTTACGACCCATCGAAATAGCTACGTTATTGCCCATACTTGAGATACAAAGCATGTCTTCAGCAAGACGACATACTGCTGCGTTTTGGTAACAGGAAAGTCAAGGCTTATTTATGTGCAGCACTGCTGACGAATGTCGATGAAACCAAGGACAATAAGGCAACATCTGCACCCGACCGTTCGGATAGTAAATTTCGAGAACGTTCAAGATAGAAGTAGTAAGGGCTTCATTCCTTCAAATTCACTCCGACATTCAATAACTTTGCAGACGATTGATTTGGTCGCGTTAACTAAAGCTCAATGTGGCCATCAACACGCACACGTGTTTAAGCTTTGGAGTCTCCTTCACGCAAGCACAGAAACAATATCGCCGCCCACACATGGACGTACATTTGTGCTCAGACGGTGTGCCGAAGAGGTCTATGAGTTACTAGGACTTTTACCTGGACCAGGCAGAAGTGACCTGTAGAAGGGAGCACAAACAACTACTTATGTCTTCCCAGATAGATAATAAGTCCATTCAAAGGCAACCGATTACCCAATGCAAATGGAATGACTAATGACAAAGTTACCAACCAGCGTCCAAAAACAAACAAGGCTGAATTGAACTAATAATCACCGGTGTAAATAATGCAAATAAACAAAAAATTCAAATTGAAATATGCAAAGCATACAAATACAAGGCAGCGGCTGCCGGAGAATGTCCCTTGTATGTAATATACCTAATTGATATGGAACGTCAAACGGAGGCTGAGGAAGATAATACCAGTGAAACTCGATCAACAAGATATAGGGAGGATTGTAACTAAAGATGAACCATTGGTTATGACGCGATCCTCTAGCTGCGGAAGGCACTGCCTGGATGTTTCTCAAAAACCAACTTCATAACATTACCGGAACTTGGAATTGATCAAAATTAGGAAGAGCCTACCCTTTTAAAGCTAAGAGTTTAATGCCCAAAAAATTGTTCAAAGCTAAAAACACTTCGTACAAGTTAGAAGGGGGGAGATTAACTTACAAAGGCGAAATCGATTCAAGGATGGAAGTTAAATTATTGAAAAGGTCAAAGGGTGTCACTGTTTTAAACAACGAACGTATGAAATAAATAAATCAAGAAAATATACGAGGAAAGGGCATCAAGGGAAACTATGAGAGCTGATAATAAATGCACAGGGTGCAATTCCACCACTTGAAAATCACTACATTTACATCTAAGTCATCGAAAAAATAAAATGAGTATGTCAAGATTAATGCCTGTGTGGCTGGTTAAGAATTATTGGAATCCCCTCGTAGCGGACAGTAACATGGACTTCAGCAAATACCAGAGAACATAAGATACTTCGGTCGATAAGACCATTCACCTCTTGGTTAACTGCAGCGTCAGAAGGAGCCATCATTGGAAATTTCAAGCAGAGATAAGGCTGAAGCAGCATAAGTAAACGATATCGCAATGCACAAATTCCATCTCCAAACCAATTCAATAGACAAGAAATGCGATTAGGTGGCATTCCAGATATGAAAATAGACATAGTAGCCAATTTTCCTACTGGACAAACGATTAATTCGACATCCTCTGAATGAAAATGAAATGTGAAAAGCACAAATCTGTTAGGCTGGCAGCGGCAACAAAACGGCATCTTACTTGCAAACATTATGAGTTTGGAGTCAATCGTTTAGCACTTCACGAAAATAACGCAAATACCCAAAGTATCACTTTGTTGGAAAGACTACTCGCAACAGAACAGGAGCCTCCTTAAATATGCACGCCGGAGTAGCAAGAAATACGACTGACTGAGCACCATAAAAAACCGAGCATTTCGCGTAAGCAAACATATAACTCACCTCTATGATATCTTTGTTGTTTTTTGACTCGTGTGGTTCAGTATAATCTGTGTAACGAAGGAGAACCCGATTAATGTCGGAGCTGGCGTATTGAAATAGACGTTTGGCACTGTTGAAAATGATGAGGGCGATCTCACAGTCGCAAAGTACGCTCAATTCGTAAGCTTTCTTCATGAGACCCAACTTTCGTTTAGTGAATGTCACTTGACGATTGCGTTCGTCATCGATCCGCTTAATTTCTATCTTTTTCCTTCCCATTTTAAGTTATTTTGATTATCAACTAAAAGTAACGAAGTAAAAGCTCACACTTGGAAAGAAGAGTTCTGGTGCATAAGCAACACCAAGTATATTGTAGGAAATCAAAATGAAAGGATGTTGGGCATAAACAGACTTGACAGTGTGTGAAGGTAAATACTCAAAAAAACATCTTGCAGTCTGCAACCAAGAAGAATACCAAATTTGCTAGTTGAAATGACGGGTATGATAAACAATCGAGACAGCTTCACTGATAACAACTTCAAAGCATCACTACTGCCCTCATATCCTAACAAAGGAAAGTCAACAAAAGTTCCGAGCAAGTGGAAGGCGCAATTAAAAATCGAGTAAAGGGAAGATCCCTCACTACCATGAGATGAAAGAGCGTACTGCTTACAAGTAATGGCCACAGATTTCGATTTTATGGAAAAATAAAGCACATACACGCGTAAATCAATTAGAGAGATCAGCAAAAGTGAATGAGCTGCTCCAATACACTTTAATGCAAAATCTAAGACATCTAAGCGCTGAGCATCAAAATAAGTAAATCAATAAGGGTGCATTCTTCAAATCATTGCCAAAGATGTGCATGAAGTGGCGTGCTTTTAAGCCAAGGACAAAAGACAATGAAAGCAAAATAATTCACTCTGAGTAATGTTTATGGAAACAGACCCTCACAAAAGGGGACAAAGGGAAATGCACATGAAACTAATCCCTACATTACACAATTCCAAAGTCATGAGGTAATAAAGCGTATGGTCACGCCAAGTCACCAAAGCGCAAAAAATAAGTATCAATTAAGGAATAAATAAGGCCAGACTTTAAAAACGACAAAGAGCATCATAAAGGAAAAATTGGAGTTTGTTAAATAGCTAGGCAGCAGTTAAGGCGAATACCGAAGGTCAATGCAACTGCACTAAAGGAAAGAACCAACAGGCCTCCGAAAGAAGGCAATAAAAGGCGTCATATCCTTCATGCTTATTGTCAAACCGGATTACAGCATAGTGGAGAGTAAAATCTCACTCAAACGCTACACTTCTCGTCCAAAGTCTACAGACTAGCCTTACACTTTAACATCAAAACACGGAGGAAACTCTATCAATAAAACCGCATACGCAACCTATTTGTTTTATTGAATTCAACTGTTACACTTACTTTGAGCAAACACGCATCTTTTTAATAACCACTCAGTTAAGCCAAAAATTGCCAACAAAATCAATTCGTGAAGTTCTAAATTATTGTGGTACAGAACCGGCACCAAATAATTTATTGTGTCCCGTAATTGGCAAGAGGGCATAAACAAAAATGATAATGCTTAACTCTTGCATCACATGGCTATATCCGAGGTTTTGAGAAATGCGAATGAGAATTCGAGATATTGAAAGAAAAAACAACGTGTATAATACATATGGGTATATAAAAGGAAAATAAATGTAGTCATCCACACGGCCCAATTGCCAGCATGCGTGGCAGAGGCGACAACGAGCCAGAGTTATTTTCACGCGCCCAGATTGAGAAATAACTAAATTGTTTTAGCGGGTTTTAACGTTGCTTAAATTTTTACTTACGTTGTACATGAAATTTTCAACTCTCATTGATTTCTTTACATTGACTTGAGGTCCCCAACAATTCCTACTATGTAGAATGCGGTATCGCTTTAGACTAAAGAAACAAGGATTTTTATGGCTTGAAGGCATCCTAATCGTACAACCTAAAAGTGAAAATTGCGATAAACGCTAGAATTTGATTGTTCACATAACCAAGTGTTACATTGGCTACCATATTTATTCGTGCGGCATGGTCTGCACTGTAACGGGACTTTCCGTAGGGTGGAAGAAGGCAGTAGGTGACGCTGGATACATGTAGATTACTGCTTAAAAGAGCCTAAGCCTGGTCCGAAAGTCAGACCACGAGTACAAAGCAGAGGCAATTCTAAGAGTGACCATCAAACCTCAGGTAAACACAAAGCATTACGTGGTCCTTGGACCATATGAGTGAATCTCTGACATTCGTCATTATATTGGGCCATTATACCCACGTTTCAGATCTTCCGCTGGCTTCGCTACTCAAGCAATGCACTTTTTGGCGCGTACCTAACTAATTGTGTAACACGCAATACAATTTTTTTGAAATGCAAATATGGCTTTGCGTGGTTTTTATATTGTAAAAAATCGACACATCTTGAAAATGATTTTTTAAATATAAATGTTTGGCGTAAATGCTCGTCTTTCCTAATCATTGAAGTAGAAATTTGTGCTTGTTTTAATAGTCAAACATCGCTTAGACTTTCGGCCTGTGGGCTCTTTAAAGTTTTGCTCCTTGTTTTTCCAGACTTTGAGAAGCTGAAATGGGCGTGGACACGCACGCTGCACAAGTTAAGGTTTTTTGTCGAATCAAACCCAACTTTGATGGTGGAGATGAATGCATTACTTGCCTTGACGAGACCTCTTTATCTATTCAAAACACACGAAGCAAGTCTTCAAAGGTACCAGATGTTACTCTTTTGTGTGATTCTCAGTAGAGCATACACTCATTTTGTCGAGTTTTCACTTCGAGCGACTCTCAGTCGGAGGTATTTGGTGCTTGTCTCTTGCCGTATGTCACGTCTGTACTTAATGGAGAGAGTGGTTTGTTACATTGCCTTTATTAACGCGATCTAGTTTTGTTTTTTGATTATGGTGTTACTGGAAGTGGCAAAACCTACACTATGCAGGGGACGATGAGCGATCCTGGATTTATCCCTCGCGCGCTCGATACTATATTTAATTCGATCGCCTCAAATTCTACTCTGAAATATGTAGGCTTAACTTGTGTCTCACACATTTAGGTTGTGAAATCTAATGGTCATAACGGATTTGATTTGCAAACTGAAGCAGAGGCGATTATGGATCGTCAACGATTTGATTATTCGTCCAGATTACGAACTCCTCTCAAGCCTGATTACCCTCCATCATGTTTGGATGGTCGGTTGGTCGATCCCACCACTGTTCCCATTCCTCGGAATCATTTATATTCCGTATTCATAACTTATATTGAACTGTATAACGATGTAATTTATGATCTACTTGAGGTGCCTACTGAAGGTTGTGGAAGGTATGTGGGTTCTCTGAAGGCAAATTTTCGAGATCTCTTGCTTTGTATGAAGATGCCAATCGAAGCGTTTACGTCCATGGGGTTACTGAACTGGAGGTTAAGTCCGCAAATGAGGCCTTGAGGGCCTATCATCAAGGTCAGAAACGTCGACGTGTGGGTGCAACTGCGATGAATAAAGAATCGAGTAGAAGTCACGGCATTTTCACCATCAGAATCGTCCGCACTGGATATGATAGTACTTACGATGAAGTTATAATGGTATGATTATGCAAATTTCATTCGAATTTGCAATATTTATGTCCCCATTCTTTTTGTAGGACAAAAGTCTACTCTCCGTAAGCCAGCTTTGTCTAGTTGATTTAGCTGGATCCGAGAGAACTAACCGCAGTGGGACCACCGGTGGACGACTTAAGGAAGCAGGTAAGCTTACTTTGGCTAATCCTTTTTTGCGGTCGGTCTGCAAAAGTTTTATTTGTATCGCTTCTATTAGCCACAATTAACAAGTCGCTCCTAACCCTGCGTAAATGCGTTGAAGTGCTAAGGATGAACCAGTCTGCGCGCGTCTGTCAAAATCCAACCGTGCAGCAGCAAATCGTTCCATACAGAGACTGCAAATTGACACGGCTCTTCAAATCATTTTTCGAGGGCTGTGGTCAAGTAGCCATTCTAGTATGTGTACATCCAACCCTGGGTGAATATTCCGAGACGGTTGTGAGTGTTGCTTTCCTATTTCCCATATTTTT